GGGCCCCGAGCCGGGCTCCGAACCGCCCCGCCCCCCCCCCCAGCTCCCCTTAGCCGCAGAGCCAGACGGAGCGAGCGGGCGAGCAGGTAAGATGGCGGCGCCCCGCTGTCGCGAGAATAAGGAGTCTCGCGAGGACGGGCGGCGCGCGGGGGCTGCCGGGAGGCGGGGCCGGGCGGCGTTGGCGTTGCTGTTGCTGACGTGCGGCCTGCGGCGGCGGGCGGGAGCGCGTTCGTGCCGTCCTCCCGTGAGGGGAGAGCGGTCCCCCGGGTGGGAGGCGGCTTCAGTGAGGGGAGACGCGGCGAGTGCTCCCTCCCCCGTGGTGCGAACTCCCATAGAGGTCTGCCACTGACAGAAAAATTATTATTTTTTTTCTTTTTTAAAAAAAAAAAGGTCGGAGTAGAAAAATTCTGTGAAAACAGGGGAGTTGGCAGCGAGGTCCCGTGTCTTGCCGACATTGGCCCCGCGTTGGGTGGGGCGGGGTGCTGCCGTGGGCCGGCGGGTGCTGGGACTGAGCTGCCTGTGGCGGTTCCCTGGCCCGTTCTGGCCCCGCAGCGTGGACCTGGTGGAGGAGCTGAGCCCACGCGGCTGATCGGTCACCCCCAGAGGCGATGGCGGCGGGGGCCCACGGACTGGCCCCCTCAAAACCACTGCCCGCCAGTGTGGGGCCTTCCCATGAAAAGTTAACATATGCCACTGCTTTCGCTGGTACGAACTGAAAGAAAATGTCTGTGTTGAATGTACCTCGGTCAGTTTGGTGGGCTTCCGAAAGACCGGCGTCTCACCTGAGCTCCAGTTTTGCACAGTCGATGAACAAAGGCGAGTATTTCAAGGAAATTGTTGACTCTGCCTTTTGCAGGCCAGAGTGCATGACTCTCAAGCTGCCTGCCTGGTTTTCTCAGAGAGGAACAGGTAATTGACTTAGATTAGACAGCAACCATGGTCTTGGCTGACCTGTCAATTTATGAGCATCCTGAAGTCCTACCTTTGTCATGCAGAGTCAGGATAACAGCAAAGGGAGCCCTAGAGAGCAGGGGTGAAGGCGAGAAGATGTGTTTGGATATAAGGTAGGATGCCTACCTGTTCTCCCAGCATGGGAACTCCTTCAAGATCAGTCCCCAGCTTCATCCTGCCTACAGGAACCCACCACAGACCGCTAGTACTTACTTAGGTTTGAAAAAGCTCAACATAACTTCTCTGCATCTGTAGCAGAGCAAGGGTGATTGGCAATTATGACCACTATTTACAATTTTGCATGCAGCCAAGAAGCACTTGGCCTCGGCAGAGAGACTGCCAAGAAATCCAGTGTCTGAGACAACTAAATAAGAGCTGGAGGAAGCTAAGGCTGCTTGTTGTCATCCTTGAAAGTCTGTTGAAAACCGGAGAGTGTAGCAAGCCGACCAAGTAAACTGCCAGCTTAGTAGGTGCTTCAGTGAGGACTTCCCAATTACAAGATGCACTTTGGTTTCCTTGCATAGTGGAGAGTGAAGAGCACATCCAGCCGGTAGGCAGAAAATCACCAGAGCCTGAAATTCTCTGGAGACTGTTCTGTAGACATCTAAAAAGTTCTTGGCTCACAGGCACCAACTTGTAAGTTAACTCCCCCTGAACCCGTAAAAAGGGTCACTAAGCTTGGGATTCTGATGGATCTTTGAAGGGACAGGCACATAGAAATTAGGCATTGTGATAAGAATCTAAATTTGGTTTTGGATCTGGCCCTTAATCCTTTGCAAAAGCCAGTATCTAGTGGAAATAATTCAGGCAAGCACTGTGTTGGTCCACTTCACTCTCATCTTTGTAACTGCCTTTGATCCTTGAATATACAACGGCCAGCAAGAAAACACAGCCTCTAAGGCTTCCCCACATAAAATGTATGGGTCTAATCATGGTAGCAACTTCTCTGTGTTTGACATTTCATTTTCTAAACTGCTTTCCAGCCATTCAGAAGCACATTGCTGTAAGTAAATTTGTGATCAGCAAAAGGACTTCATGAATACATTTTATGCAGTGGATAAGACTTGTCTGGATGTGGTAATTTTTTAACATTACTGTGTTGATAGAATTATGCTGTTACCACACTTTTGTGGCAATATTCCGAGTAACTATAATAAATAAATAAATAGAAGCTGCTGACATTCCCAGTTCTAGAGTTTGCAGACTTGAAATCTTAAGGCCTTATAAAGATTTAGATCCCACGTCATAAAAAGTGTCTGCAATGTTCTGTAGCATCTTTCAGGCAATTTTAATTTCATTTCATGGCAGGAATTAGAGGAGTACAAACTAAACCTATTAGATCTGAGGAAACCATTTCCTCTGAAATATAAAGTGGCTTCTATACATAAGGTGGTTTTTATTTAGACACAACATCTTTGGGTTCTTAATAACAATTTTAAAAACAGAAAATAAGGAATGGTCTTTACTTAAATCAAACTGTAGTCACACGTGAAATCAGTATTTAACTGAAAAAAATCCTGAAGATTGTGTTTCATTTAATACAACATAATAGAGAATCTGTGCAAAGGGTCAAAGTAATTATTAACTTCTACAATGTCATATTTCCGTAAGACAAATAAGTTTCTATTTCTCCTGTAGCTGTTCAACGTAAAATTCATCAACCGTCCAAAGGAAAACAAAACATACCCTAAATTTCATCCCTACCTGTACAATTAAAGCCCTGAAAAAGATAACAAGGAAAAAATTGAATCTTTGAAAAGATTGGAAAGCAGCAAAAGAAGAATTGAGCACGCTGTCCTTAGGTTTCAACAATTTAACACCTTCATTTAAAAAATCAGTTCCTATTGCTAAATGGTAGATATTCTGTATCATGTATATGATCTATGGATGCCAAACTTTTAATAGGAACTATATAATAGAAATCTCAAAAACTTGAAAATAGACGTACATATTCTGTGGATTACTATAAAAAATGCATTTTAACATCAATAATCTTAAAATATAAATAAAATGTTAATAAAGTAATACAAATCTAATTCCCTTATTTATTCATGTGTCAGAATTACAGATTCCTTACAGCCCTTTTGGCTTATAAAAACTTTGTGAAGTTCTTCACAGTAGTATAGATGTTTTCATATATAACAATTTTCAAAGTTCATAGGTTTGGTGTGTGCTTAGTTTGCAGTAGTCTTATCTAACTCAGTTTAGTGACCTTTGACATCTAAAAATAATGGGTTGTATTTATTAACATTTTTATTGTTTCACCTACTAACGTGAGAGCTGAATGTTGCCAGCCAAGACAGAGATATCAATCGTTCCTGAGATTTCTGAGATTTTATTTCTGCTGACTCTTCTCCAAAGCCATTGGACTTGTGCTCATAAACAAGCTTTGTAAAGCTGCAATTTTTAAGTGTTAAAGATTTTTCTTTGAAAGTTGACATTTTCTTAAATGTCCATAGATCTCCTTTTAACTCAGATTTGCCCCTTTAATTTTTTAATACAAAAAGGAGTTGTAGAAGAGAATAACTTTAGGGCACATCCGTCTTTTTGCCAAACCTATCCTACCTTCATCGGTCCATGTTCATGTCATACAGAAAAAAGGTTAATTATTATTGGTTTTTAATTTTTTTGTGTGTTTGGTTTTGTTTGGGGTTTTTTTTAAGTGAATTTTTTTTGAAGCTGCCGGACTGGTCTATGGCATTACAAAATTCTTCAGTCTATCCCTCTAACACTTCATCTTTTTACTAGGAAAATGTGATTTAAGCATTTAAGCATTACGGGCCTCAGATGTATCTGAGTGGATGATCTGGAGATGAAGGGTTCCATGTCCTTGCAGTGTACAATGGCCCTAGCATCAACGCACGGGCTAAAGCAGCAGGGCTGATGAAACTGGATGGCATCAGGATGGTTTGATGGAACAAAAACATTTTTGCATATTGTTCAGATTTTTAGTTTGTATTTTCACTGAGTTCGGGGTTTTGGTGTTAGCTGTTATTTAGATACATATAGATGTACTTCTTTGTACTTCTGTAGATGTACTGCCTTTGCTCTGTGTTGAAGGGTCAAATGATACTCCTCCTGATACTTCTTGTCTACTCTATAGTGAGTTTCATCTCAGGAGGCACCAATATGATTTTTGAGGATAATGTCACAGAAAGGATCGAGACCTGAAGACTCCCCCTTCCATCCTTCACAAATAGCAAATGTCTATCAATTCCTGAGCATCTGAAAGCTGAGGCACTTCTGCCTTTCCCCATAAATCCACCTACTGTTGCTTCAACAGAGCAGCAAGTCAGCTTCATATTACTCTTACTTGACTGTGCCTAAAAAAGATTAATATTTATATAAATGTTTAGCCCTTTGCTTTTTTCTGTTGAGTCCTGCATAGTGAATTGAATCAAACTGAGCCATTGCCACTTAAAAGCTGGTGCCTGTAAAAGCTCTTAGAGCAGATGGTCTTTAAGATCTGAATGTCTTCCTCTAATCTTAAAACCACAAAAATTTAATCACGAAATATGCTGTGGACGGTAGGTGACTTTCTGTGGCCATGGTCTTTCTATACAACAGACCTAAGCTATGGGTTTGTGTATCTCTCCTGCTTTCTGTTGCTGCAGGAAGAAGATAGGTGATATAACTGGAGAAAAGGGCTCTACCTGGCCCTGCTTGAGCAGAGGGGTTGGACCAGATGACCTCCAGAGGTCCCTTCCAACCTCAATCATCCCATGATTCTATGAAAGGCTTTTGGCAGAGTGTCTCAAAGCCACAGGTGTTTGAAGTGTTTGTAGCTGGTGCATGTAGCATTTAGCCTGAGATTGCAAGTCATAGAATTGAGCATTGGTTTTTTGAACTGACATAACAGTTGTTTAACAAGTTTTCTTGAAAGCCAAGGTCAGAACAAG